GGGGAGAGAGAGGCGGGGGTGAGGGCTGGCTGGTCCCTGAGCCGAAGCGGACGGGGGGGGGGGGGGGTTTGCAAGGTGCAGCTCACTGAGATGAAGACAGCCCGTGATGGCGGATTGCGACAGGACTTGGGGGGCATGGCCCCTGCACGGCACCCCCTGAAATCCATGGCCGGGAGGGGCTGCCACTGCTCCCTGACCCCGCCAGGGACATGGGCCTGGCCACGCCCAGGCCAGCCAAAAGCTGCTCCTTTCGAAACTGCCCGGCCCCGTCACAAAGCTGCCACTTCCAGGCCATGGTGGGCCAGGGAGGAGCCCTGCCCTCTCCCTCCCCCGCCAGGGACGGGCCGAGAGCTGGGAGCCATGTTCCTCTGGGGCGGGGGCTGCACTGGACTTTACTTCAACAGCCCCAGTGCTGCCAACCCTGGTGCTCCACTGGGGATGCTAATAGAGAGCAGCCGCTGGCATTGTAACCCCGCCTGGTCCAGCAGCACGGGGCATCAAACACCCACAGTGGCCACATGTGCTCTGCCCGAACTCTCACCCTGCCAGGGCTACAGCCTGGCAGCCAGGTGGGGCGAGAGGCAGGTGGCAGGGCGGCTGCAATGGGACATCGGGTAGAAGTGATGCAGGGGCCTCGCGGAGGCTCTCTGCGCTGGGGGGCTTGCTCCCAGCATGGGGCTGTCCCACCTGTCCCAGGAACATGCTCTGGGACCTGCCATATGTATGTGTGTGTGTGTGTGTGTGTGCACCACCTCCTGGGTGGAATCAGAACTACTCACCTGTGTGTCATAAGCTCTGTACTGGTACCAGCTCCTGGAGATTCTCCCTGCGCTGAAGCAGAAGCATGCGGATCTGAGCTCCATCCCACGGGTCGCCAGGGAGATGTGCATGGTGCCAGCAGACTGACAAGAGGGACAGGCATCCTACACACCCCCAGCAAGGCAGGGAAGAGCCAGGAATAGAACCCAGGAGTCCTGACTTCCAATCCCCTTCCCAATGACACCCTCCTCCCCACAAAAAAGGCTACATTTCTGCTGGGAGATTCAAACAAGTAGCAAAGCCTCTGGTTGTCTGGGGTGAGTGAGCAGACAGACATCCTCTCCCCCGGCCTCCCGCGGTGTCTCTGCACTCCCCAGCCACTGCCCACCAGAGCCCTGCCGGAGCCTGCAGCGCCCGTGCCCACGAGCATGTTTATTTAAAACACAACCCAGAACACCTGCGGTGCCTTGCAAACTGCCGGGATTTATTCGCTTCTATGCCCGCCCACCTTTAATTTTTACAGCCCTGCTGGAGCGCATACCCAGCACCGTTACTAACGCCTGCCGCCCAGCGCGCCCATCCGTCACACTGCCGCGGCTTGGGACAAGCTCGCAGGCCTGAGCCCCGGAGCAGGAGCCGCAGCTCGGGAAGTCCCAAGGCAGAGCCCGAAGAGCCAGGCCCAGCAGCATCGGCCGCACCGGAGCGCGTTCACCCAGTGCTGCCTCACCCCCCGCTCCCGTACACAACCGCGGAGCGCCAGGCACCAACGCAGAGCGTGGGCACCTGGGCACTGGGACCAGCCCAGCATCCCTCGCCAGGAGGAGCACGCGAGCCTCGGGGACTGAGAGGGGAGAGCGCCCCCTGTTGAGTCACCCGCCCCGTTCCTTGCAGCACTGCACTGGGGCATTGGGGTCAGCACGCACTGAGAGGGAAGAGCATCCCATGACAAAGGGGGGGGATTGTCTTAGTGGTTTCCATGGACATTGTGCCTCCGTTTCCCCGTGTGCTGAGTGTGTAAGGAGGGGTTGGGAGAGGGGCTTCGCTGCTGTGACCTCGCCTAGCAGTCGGGACCCTGGACAACAGCCTGGAGATGGGGGACCCTAGCGACCGGGAGGCCCAGCCCAGCTTGGGAGCCAGCCGATTCTGGCCAATGGGAGGACAAAGGGCTGAGGAGAGAGGACCCCGGTGACCAGCCCGTGGGGAACAAAGGAGGGAAGAGAGGAGGCCCGGCAGCCTGTTTGCCTGGGACCAAAGACAAAAGCTGGAGGAGGGGCTGTGGGGAAGGTGCTACAGGATGATCGGCTGGAAGGAGGGGGCGTCTGGACTGGGGATGGGTGGGCAAGGAGCAACCTGCGCCCATCGGGGCTGGGACAGGTTCAGTTGCACGGTGCTGAGACGTGCCAGACCCAAGGGCCCTGAGAATGGCCTGTGCTGCGTTCAGACATTCAATAAACCCCCTGTCGTACACTGGCTGAGAGTCACTGCAAGCTAGAGAGCGGGGTGGCATTGCTTCTTCCAGGTGTGGAGGCCCTGGGGGGACAGTGTGAGGGGGCCCACGTGAGAGTCAGGCCTGCTGAGGGCTCAGAGAAGTATGGTTCCAGGAGGCAGGTGGGGCCCAGGGCTTAACCCCCGAACAGAGAGAGCATGACCCCCAAGAAGGGCTGTCACACTGACGGGGGTTCCTCCCAGGGACCCCCATAGGGAGCCGAGAGAGCCTGAGACCTGTGACTCTGAGCCAGCCACCTCGCTCCCTGCAGCACAGCGCCCCCTAGCACAGTGCTAGGCGACACTGACTCACCCCTCTGCTCAGCCCCACTGCCTGCAGCCCCCTGGGTTTTCCCCACAGATCCTGCAGCCAAGCCCAGAGCTGGTGCTGCTTTCGCTCCAGCGATCTTCACACAAGCCCGAACGACTCTGCCAGGAGCCAGTTGACCTAGCAGGTGAGTGACTCCGGCTCTAAACGCTGCCTGGGCCCTGGGTGTAACAACCCGGAATGACTCGTCAGGTGGCTAATTCTCAGATTGTTGCAAAATCGCTATTTGCAGCAGTGCGTTTTAAAGTGCCCGCAGCTCCCTTGCGCCTCCCCAGAGCTGGTGGGTGGCAGAGGGCGCGGCCGGTCCCCAGCTCTGCCCTGCATAGTTAATGCAGCCACCACGTGAAGGAAACTGACGCACAACACTGACCTTCCCCTCCCCATTCAGGGCCAGCGGGACGCTCACTGCTGTGGCGGAGGGGGTGGCCTGCGCCCAGAGGTGATGGAGGACTCCAGCAGTATGCGGTGTGCCTGGGGGGAGGGGGAGCTGGAGATCAGCCCTGAATCACCCCCAAGCATTGTCCCTTCTCTGAGCATGTGCCACAACGTTAAGGTCACCTACCGAGTGCTTTGCATGGGGGCCACGGGCGCCCGGATATAAAGGGGTGTGCGCCTGGACGCGTGGCTAGCCATCACAGTGTGTGTGGGGGGGGGGTGTGCTGGCGTGAGCATGGCCTGATGGCTGCATGTGTCTCTGGGTGTGTCAGTTGTGCGTCTAATGTAGGCTCTGACACTGTGCTCCTCCCTGTGGGATCCGAGCACCTTCCAGCCGCGCATTAAGCAGTGAGACGATGTTTGTTCCCGTGGCCCCTCCCTGGAGGCAGGGCAGGGGCTGGGTTGGGTTTGGGGCTGGTTTTTATGGCCGTAGTGCTGCTGTTTGTTGGAGAAGGCCGGTCAGAGCAGAGCGCCTGGCACTGGGAACTGGAGGTGGGGAGGTTTGGGATGGACCTTAGTTCTTGTGTGGGGGGAGGGGGCAGATTCACACCAGTCTGGGACCAGCCCCCAAGAAAGCCACTGTCCCCTGAGCTGAACCCTGACAGTGAGAGTACCTCACCCACGGTCCCCATCTGGAGCTTTAGGGTCTTCTACATACCCCGGGCCTGGCCACCAGGCCCAGGAAGCCAAAGACCCAAGGCTCAATATCTATGGGAAGCCAGCGCAGAGCTGCCCAGAGAGCGTCACCCATGGACCCTGCTGCATGACAGCTCCAGGGTCCTCCTTGCTGGGACCGATTGGGGGTGGGAGCCTTCTACTGGAGGAGACACATGAGCACGGCTGTGGGGAGGGGAGGGGCGGCGCGGGAGCGGGCCCAGTGGATGTGGGAGTGACTGTGTTCACCTGGGCAAGCGTGCAGAAGAGCGTGCTTGGGGGCCTGTGCGAAGTGCAAGGGGGTGAATGTGCCTGGCATGGGGGGTGAGTGTGCCTGGAGGATAGACAAGCATGTCAGAAGGTGTGCAAGTGTGCCCAGGGATGTGAGTGCGCATGGGGGATGTGCAAGTCTGTGGGCGAGCGTGCCTGGGGACGTGCGGGCAAGCGTGCCCTGGGGACATGCTGGAGAGGGGGCGAGCGTGCCTGGGGACATGCGGGCGAGGGTGCCTGGGGATGTGCGGGCGAGGGTGCCCGGGGACATTCAGGCAAGGGGCGAGGGTGCCTGGGGACATGCGGGTGAGGGGCGATGGTGCCCAGGGACATTTGGGCGAGGGGTGAGGATGCCCGGGGACGTGCGGGCAAGGGGCAAGCGTGCCCTGGGACGTGCGGGCGAGTGTGCCAGGGGCACATGGAGCTGGATGGGTACTTGTATGTTAATATTAAAAGCCCTGTGATTTCCCAGGAAGGCGAGTGACGCCCGCGGTAATTGATGGGCTGTAAATCTCCCTGCTCCCCCCGACAGGAGCGGTGGGATATTTATGGTGGGCAGCCAGCTGCAATGCAGTTCAGTATTCCCGGCCTTTCCCCTTTGTGCCATTGGAGTCCGCGGGGCCCTGGCCGCTCAGACACCCTTGGTCTGGCCTGGCCGGGGCTTCCCCACAAGCCCCCCCTCACCGCAGCCCAGAGAAGGACGGTGTCAACGCAGCGCCCCAGCCCCCGCCAGTGCCTGGCAAACCCGCCTAGTGCCCACCCGGTAGATGCCAGCTTCCCTAGGTGCTTTCCCAGGCAGCTGCCAGCCTGGGGGGGCAACATGGGGCCCCCATCACTGGGGGGAATCCTGATGCCCGTAGCCTCCCCCCATGCCCCAGCGGTGCCCACCCCGTGCCAGCTGGCCAGGCTGTCCCATAGCTCCCTTCAGAGCCGTGGGGGTGGGGGAGGCCGCTGCCCCCCTGGCCAGCCGCGGGGGAGGCCGGATGATGCTGGGCGAGGCTTGGAGGCGAGTCCCCCCGCCCGGCCCCAGCTGCAGCAGCGCTCTGAGCACAGGCGCTGACAGGTACCGTGCGGGGCGGGCGGGGGGAGCTGCCCGCTCCCAAGGCAGCCGAGAGCCGCTCGCCCAGAGCATCCCCGGCTGCCGCTGCCGCCCGGCTCCGCTGCCTGCAGCCCCCGGTAAGCGCCGCGCCTTGCCCCTGCCTGCCCGCGCCGGGCTCCCGCTGCCCGGGGATCGAGGGTCCCGTTGCCCCCC